TCACCAGTGCCATCAACTCCTTCTCGTAAGCGGATTTAGCTAAGGCGCGGTCTGAAATACCCTTGCTAAAATAAGCCACCGGACGACCTTGTTGCATCAAAACCGCACCAACCCCTCGTCCAGATGCATCACACTCAACGACAAACGACAATGAAAAATCAGGCATAGCTAAAACCGGAGCGGAAGTTAGGGCTTGCTTGAGTTCTTGGAAAGCCTGTTCAGCCTCAAAGGGCCAAACCCACTCCCGAAATGTCTTTTTTTCAATAGAGACGTGAGAGGAGAGGCAATCTTGCCATAACTACGAATAAATCGGCGATAGTAACCTGTGAGGCCAAGAAAACCACGCAAGCTACGAAGAGAAGCAGGACGCGGCCATTGGAGCACTGCAGCGATTTTTGTTGGGTCCATCTGCACCCCATCAGATGAAACCACATGGCCGAGATACTCGACAGATTTCCTTCCAAACAAACACTTCTTCGGATTTATTGAAAATGAATGTTCCCGAAGGAGGCCCAATACCTGTCTGAGATGGCACAAATGCTCCTGCCACGTATTGCTATACACCAGGATGTCGTCAAAAAAGACTAACACAAAGTGACGGAGATAAGGCCTGAAAATATCATTCATGATGGCCTGAAAGGTGGCGGGAGCATTAGTCAACCCAAAAGGCATTACTAAGAACTCGTAATGACCTGAATGTGTACGAAATGCTGTTTTAGAAATGTCCGCTTCAGCAACCCTTATCTGATGGTAACCGGCACGGAGATCGAGCTTGCTAAACCACTTTGCCCCATGCAGTTCGTCTAATAATTTCTGGATGATAGGGATAGGATATTTATCCGGAACCGTGTGCTTATTCAACTCGCGGTAGTCCACACAAAACCTCCAGCTACTATCTTTTTTGCGAACCAACAGAACAGGGCTTGAGTATGGGCTGCAACTTGGACGGATCAACCCAGCTTCCAACATATCTGCCACTAGTCGTTCCATTTCATCTTTTTGGAAATGATTGTAGCGGTATGGTCTCACTGAAATGGGTTCGGTACCAGGTTGTAAGTTAATATGATGGTCAATGTGTCGCTTAGGAGGTAGTCCAGAAAATGGTGTTAAGATCTCAAAAAATTCTGCTAAAAGGGGCGAGAGTGCATCCCGAGTTGGTGAATGAAGGCTCGATTGACACAGGACAATGTGGTGGAGATTCCGATTGATCCACCGACCATAAAAGCCATGTTTGCTCACCGTCAGAAAATTCGCGAATTGCTGTAGCCACAGACACAGCTTGGCGGGTGAACGAGGGATCCCCTCTCAGAAGAATTGTACGACCATCTTTAACTAATTCCATTGTCAAATTTTTCCAATTTGCTTTCACATCTCCTAACGAAGCCAGCCAAGAGACACCCAATATTATATCCACCCCTCCCAACGGAAAAACAAAGCAATCAACCATAAAAGTAGCCGTTTGCAAATAAAGAGGAAGGGCGCGGCACAATCCCTGTGCAGAAATGCGTTGACCATTGCCCATCATCACAGAATACGTCGGTGAAGGCTCCACATGTAATCCCAATTTATCCACAACCCTTTCCGAAATAAAACAATGACTCGCGCCACTATCCACCATAGTCAGGAGCTTGAAATTCTCAAGTCTGCTTATCAACTTCATCGTATGGGGACCATCAAAACCCTTGGCTGCAAGGTGTGAAAGTTGTAAGGTTTGGAGAAGTGGGGGTTCAGTTGTCAGAGGGTCTGGGACCTCTTCTACCAATTCAGAGACAATGGGTATCTCCGACTCTGAAGGTTGTGAAACGTCCATCTCCTCACCCGCGAGCATCACGTTTAGGGAACGAGCTGGGCAAACGTGTGTCGGGCCATAGGGTTGGCTGCACCGAAAACATAGACCTTGTTGTCGATGGGACTGGTACTCGGACGGTGTGAGTTGACGCACTCTACGGAACTTCTGGGATGTGATAGTGGATCCTGTATTTGAGGTTGACCCCTTTTGGCTGGCTCCAGAACTCAGGGTCGGAGTCGAGCGAGCTTGAGGCTGTTGGATTTGTGAGCTATGCTGGAGAGGTGACGAGAACCGTGGAGCCTGTAATGGGCGGGTAGAACTTGAGAAGGGAGAGTATGATGAACGAGGTTGTCCCTTACCTGATGGGAAGTTTGCGAAATTCAATTCACGTTCCACTTGACGAGCCAATCGAATTGCAGCATACACATTCATGGAAGGGTCATCACGTATACGGATTCGGATATCCTCGCGTAAACCACCCAAAAATTGACCCAAATAATGAGGGTCAGATAAATCAGTTACCTGAGCAACACAAGCTTCAAATTCAGCAATATACTCATGACAAAGCCGGTTTGCCGCGTGACCTTCAAAGGCTCATATGCATTCACAGTCGTCAGAGTGCTGAAGCGAAACAATAGTTCTTCAATGAACTGGGGCCAAGCGATAGTAGGAAAACGGCGCATTAAACCTTGAACCCAATACAATGCATCCCCAGACATGGCGACGAGCGCAATTGGAACTTTTTCCGCTACTGGAGTGTGGTGAACCAAAAAAAATTGCTCAGCCCTGGCTATCCAAGCAGTTGGGTCAGATCCATCAAATGAGGGGAGGTCAATTTTTGGTGTCCCAGACAACGTAGTGGTATGGTTCGTAGTCTGGGATGTGTCCGTCTCGTGGGAGGTCCTAGAATCGGATGAATTCTCCTTCTCTTTCATGATGGCAGCGAACATAGTCTCGATAGTCGAAAATTTTGTACATACCTCGTCAAGGCCCTTCTCCATCATCTCCAAACGGTGTTCCATCCTCTCGAAACGGGTGTCCATCCTTGTCTGCATACAAGGCTTGGCAGGTCGGACCAATTTGATAGAGTGAAGGGCAATATTAACAATAGATAATGAACGTACTACCCCGAAGGGTCCTCAGGCAAGATAGCCTGCCACAAATGTCAATATTCCAGAATACTCATCTAACTCTTACCCACCAATATATATACTAAACCCTAATATTTAATAATGAAACCCTAAAGCCCATTTAAGAGCCCGCTAACTTAACTAATTACATTAACTAAATAATAAGGATAATTGGGCCTACGCCCTAGGGTCCAGTAGGAGCAGCCGCAGCCCGTTTCAGCCTTCTAGAATAAACTTTCATAAATTGGTCTTTATCACAAAATGACTCATTTAGACCTATGATTCGTTTCCATGCAGAAGGAGGCAGTTAGCTGACCTTGGTTCTGCCACTGGTGTTTATAAGACTCTAATGAAGTACCTGGTGGGCGTGCCAGAGGTACATCTTTGCTCAATTGGTGCTGCCCAGCTAGTATTGTTTATATTGTCAACTTTTGTTTTTATGTAATTTTTTGTCTATTATGGTATCAATCTCTTTCTTTTTCGTAATGTGGTTGTTGTTGTCTCTAATGCATGCCACCATTCCGAATTTGAAGTGTTTATTATTTTTCTTCTGTTTGATTGTTGAATTTACAATGATGTAAGTGCTGCAGGTTTTGATGGATTTTGTTCGGCAAATAAATGATGATCAAGGGTATGCATGCATTTATTAAGCAAATACCAAAAGTTATATCATTACTGAGCCAAAATTCTATCATTTCAGAGAGGACCAAACAATATCACTTGCTATTTTAGTTCTGAGTTCATGCTTTTCAACAGGCCCATGGAGGAGCAACGACAAAGATATGGGCCACCTCTATATAGCCTTACAAAAATGGTCCATAATATCCGACTATATGTCTCTTTGCTGTGGGAGCGTTTTGAATTTAGAAACTTGTAAGGCTTGTTAAGATTCTATTAATTTCAGTTCTTTAGATGATAATATGTTGGAAAAATGGTAATGTACTTTTTTGGTTTTCTACGACCTCCCACAATGATTTAGGGACGATTCTAAAGCTTTTAATCTGGATCACCAAATATCAGTTTTAGAGGAAGCGACTGATGTCTACTCTTCTGAGGTTGAACGATTTATTAACTTTATCAGGTACTGAATCCTTCTTATGCTTTGACATCCAGCATGCAACCTGACCTATGCATGTAGGTTCACTCCAAGTCAGGCATTTATATCCTTTCGATTGTTAATTGACTATTGTTTATTTTTCATAATTTAATTGGGTAAGCTCCAAGCCTGATTTGGGTTGGAATATTGTCTGGTAACTGTAGATCCATACTATATTTCAATGTGATTACAGTAGGTTTAAATGTACTCTGTTCTTAAGCTTCATTTGTTGTGTAGTTGCTTTAATACTGTTTGAGTCTGAAGCTCCTTATTTGCCCTGGCTTCACCTGTATAGTTAGAAGTATATGAAACTGTTATGTAAAGTAGCCAGGAAAACTATTTCACTACCATTGGAGTCTGATGTCTGCGGTTAAAATTCGTCTGCATTTGGTTCTCATTTGTTGTTTAATACATTAATCCAATTGTCGGTTTTGCAGGGAGGTTTTCTCAAATTCCCCCTTTCTTATTAGTGCAGAGGATGCTGGTACATTTTTGGCCAGGTGTGCCAGAACTAGGCTTATCATTTGTTTAAGTTGTGTCATGTGAGGGATGTTTATTCACTTTTTCCTTTTGTTTTGATTGTGAACTTGCAAAAACACAGTAAAAATGATGACTACAAGGAAATAAGTGTTTCAGCAGGGAAGACTTATGAGGTGTGTTTTCTGTTATTAAATCATTGTGTAATTCCGCAATTTATAACAGTGTTCATAGCTGTGTGACTACTATAATATTTCTTTCTTGATATTTTAAAAATTGTACAATACACCTACATTCAGAGTCTATTAGACCTATACTATTCTATCTATAATCTATATCTATCTATAATCTATCTATCTATCTATCTATCTATCTATCTATCTATCTATCTATCTATCTATCTATCTATAATCTACTAGTACAACACCCGTGTATTACACGGGTGCTTGCTAATTTTTTTCTTAAAATCTAAAATTAATGAGAAAAGGTAGTTTGAAAATTTAAATATCTTTTATAAGAATATATATATATTATTATATATTTATTATGAAACTTTTTATTTATGCAACTTACTTGTGTTATATTATATTAATTTTTTTTTTAACTTACAATATATAACTACATTACATATAAATATATCAATTGAGAAATAGTTTTATTTTTCTAATTATATTTTAATAAATATTATTATTTTTTATTATTATAAAGATAAATATAATTTATATATTTCATATATACAATATGGATGTCAAATCGAAGATCATCAAAAGATGATTAATTTGATATATTATATATGTAAAACCGAGAATAAATACAAAAGTTATCAACTTTTAAAATACAATTATAATTCAATAACTAATTGAAAGAAACAAATCAAAAGTCAGGGATATATTAGTCACTTAGTGTCTCACTATGTAAAATTACAGAGTTAAAGGGTTATATTAGTACAAGTGATATTATAATACCTAAGTTAGCTAAATAATATTTATGGAATGTCTGAACCTAGATATTAATTATTAATATATCAATTTATTTGTCCGAACCTAATTACGAAGCATGATTCTTCGCCAAGTAGGATTCCGAAGCACCAGAAGCAGCCATGTAGGTTCAGCGCATTCGGGAATTATATATAGGGAGGATATCTATCTATAATCTATCTATCTATCTATAATCTATAATCTATCTATAATCTATAATCTATCTATCTATAATCTATAACTCCCTTAAAAGTATGAGTTATTTCTTGAAAATTTTGAAATGCCCATATTATCCTCTAAAGTTTTACCATTTAAGGACATAAATGTAATAATATAACTTCATTAATATCTCATCCAACCACATTGAAATAAAATCTGAAATGTCACTACTACCCCCAATAAAAAATAATGTTACTTCTAAAAGTATTATATTATGTTACTTCCAAAAATTGATATTATGTCTTATTCCAAATACATTTACTAATTGTAATATAAACAATCAAAATTGTCAAATAACAATTTAAATTTTAATTAGAATAACTGAAATATTAAAACACATGACTTAATATAAAATTGTTTCAAATAATTTCAAATAAACGTTTTAAATCATATTTTGATGTTTTAATCATGAATGTCATGACATAGTACTCAATTTTTTCTTATAATATTCCTTGTGTATATTATAATTAATAATCTTTTATGATATTAATCTACTGAAAAAAAAATTACCGATATCCAAATTTTTAAATGAATGTATTGGCACAACTACAAAAGTAAGCTTTTTTTTTTTTT